ATTCGCTTTATTCATTTATTTGAATCATTTGAGTCATTTGTTTTATTCGCTTTCTAAGTTAAGCAGACTCAAGTTAAAACTTGAATTTCAAAAGTTCAAGAAAATAGGCTCTTAAATTTGTTTTTTAAGTAATGTGTGTAAATAAAATAATAAAAGTATTATAAAATAGTAGAATTAATCATTCATTACCTAAAAAAAAAATTTATATAACATCAAACTCAAGCTAAGTTGAATGTTTGGCTTGACCTGAATACTCAAGCCTATTGTTTCTTGGCTCAATCTCAGCTTATTTGGAACTTTACCCACAATTGAGTTAGGACAACACACAATTATCTAACAACCCATATGATCAATGAAGTAAAAACAGGTATTTTTTTGATCAACTACTGTGTAAAACAAGATTTCAAACTGGTATTCAAAAAGGGTAAAAATTCTTTTTTTGGTATTTTGCAATTTGTTTTATACATCTTAAAATCTCCTAATCCGTGATCCGTTTGACAATTACAATTGCAGGATTGAAAATTTTGTCACAAATAGTAATAGCCTTATTTTCATTTAGGTTCTCGTGTAACAAATTTTTTTATTTCGTGTCCTTTAAATGAAAAATAAAAAATGAATTCAGAATTGACACCAGAAGAATGGCTTGAAGAGGTGGTTAAATATGGGTTTATTATAGAATATGATTTTGGTGATTTTAATGAAATAAAAATTATTGGCACAGGTGCAATTGGCTTGGTTCATCAAGCTTTCTTAAAAAAAGTACAAAATAATGTTGCTTTAAAATCTTTCAATTTTTCAAAGAAATTTACTAATAAAGAATTTGTAAATGAGGTAAACTTCGTTTCTAGTATTTTTATTTATTACATATATACTTTTTATTTTTATTTACTTATTTTATTTTATTTTTCCAGCTAAAACTACATAATAAAGCTCAAAGCCACGAAAATATTATAAATTTTTATGGACTAACCAAAAGTATTATTGATTTTTATATAATAATAACAATAATATTTAAAATTTGGATGA